AATAAAGAGCAGATATCACAGGGAATTTCTGTTCCGACTATATTTGGGCTTAACGTAGTCAATTCTCTCATTACTCAATTCTGAATCTATAGCTTGATTTGTCATGCCTTGCTTGTGCGGGTGTTGTCCAGGGTAATTGTTTTCAAGTATGCCCCGGGCCACACTTTTATGAATTCTAGAACCTCTTACCTCTTGTCCTAAGCTTGCAGTAAAAGTAGACATGTGAGCCACGCTTTTATGGGGTGGTGTAATAACTTGGGCCCAGAGCTCGGGGCCCTGGTGAAAATCCTCGGGTCCTCATGGGGAGAGAGAGAATCTCTGTAATTTCCTGTTAAAAAGAATGTATTAATTGAGTTTTTGGTTGATGAAGTTTCTTTGCCTAGTTTAATTATAAAAGAATGTTAGTTTAGTGATACAAGCCCCCCATAAACGAGCGGCCTGGTCTTATATACGTTATACATCCAGTTCCCTCGAGGCTTGTAGCGTAGCGCAAGTGGCAAAAGTCCAAAGCCCGTTACTAAAAGGAAAAATTACAGCAAATTAAAAGCAGCAAAAGTCATTGCCCGGTATCTTTACTTCCCCCCATACACGGGCACGGTGGTGTAATCTTTGGTAGGAGAGGGTTGTTTGCCCATTTCATTCAGGGTGCGTGGCTCAGGCTTGAGTCCCCATTTTGTGAAATAGCCAGAGAGATTCGTCTTGGCAGTTTGCGCAGCCAGCGTCATAAAGTAATGCTTAGCATCAGCATTGGTGGCTTGGGTTGGTCCGGCGCGAGAGCGCTTGTGCATTTCATGATAGAAGCCGTCTCCGCCAAACGCAACACGGACTTGTTCGAACATGACAAGCTGCGTAAATACGTTCGCGTCGTCGAATACCTTCTTGTCGGGAGCCTGCGCCAAATATTGCTTGGCTTTGTACCATTCTGTCAAGGAGCGACCGGAGGATTTCAGCGACCGCCCAACAGCAAGACTGTATATGTTGACCGTACTCTCGCCTACGGCTTTCCAGCTCCATGTATCAGTATGCTGGCGTTGGTGTCCTAGTTCATGCCAAATCATCCACGACCAGCGGACCGACGGGTGCCACCAGACCCATTGATGCCATTTGGAAGGAATGGCGGCGCGATAGTGCCCTGAATGTGCATTCACTCCATCCTGAGTTTGCACCACCATCGGTCGCAGCAAACTAGGTTTGTCCCGCGGGTTCTTTGCTGCAGTATTCAGGCTACTAATCTTGTCTTGAGCGCCAATAATGTCTCTGTACATGTACAATAATGCCTCTTGTTGTTGCCCCTTGTCTGCGTAGATTTTCGCGTCAGCCGCCAGCCCGGTGATAATAACATGTTTACCGCTCTGTTCAGCGAATGGTACCTTGGTGGCATGAAGCATGGCTTTCCACTGGTTGTTGGTTGTTACACCTTGGCGGAATAGAGGGAACGGTTGGGCCGTGTTGCCGAGCGAAACAGTGATGGGACGTCGGCCCTGACCGGCTCGCTCAACATAGCGAATATAGATGATGCCACCCCAGGGACTAGAAATGGTATTGACACCGTTCTTCAACGGTTTGGACGCTTCCAGTTGGGCAGGCATCAGCTCGTTTCGGTGGTCGGGGTGCACTAATGCTGGTGTACCAACCAAGATGACTGGTTTCAACGGGTTTGTATCGATCCCGGAAGCCGTAATTATAAGAGACGTTTCCGGATTGAGATAAAAACCCGTGGGTTGGAAGTCGGCCCATTTCATGCGTTGTCTCAGTCGTGCGCGCTCCTGTTCTGCCTCTGGAGCGGCATGCACGGTCATGGCCCGCGGTTGTGGAAAAAGCGATGTGTCCGTCTGTTTATAGACTAGAGGGGCACGAACACTCCATTTATGGGTAAAAGTTTTGCTGTCTGATTGTCGAAGACTTACCGAGCCTGTGTCTTTCACATAAGACGTTAGGGTGAGCGGCAGGACAATCGTTGAGCTTGACGTGGCACCAAGAGCCAAGGTGATTGCGGACCATGCATAGAAGTTTTTATCCTTATTGTACCACTCGCATCGGATCCTTGGGGAGCCCGTCTTTGTTCCTGGGCAAGAAGCGTAAACGTACGTTATGGATAGATTCCATTGTCGTAGGTCTGGCGACTCGAGAACTATCTTATCCGCCTTTTGAGGCCCTTCGTTCCATACCTTGGGCCAAATAATATCTGCCTTGCCTATGTAAAATTTTTCCGAGCCTTGCCTGCTTTTCAGTGCCATTTTTGCCTCAGTGCGGCTGGTCATGGCCATCTCCTCGGGCACCTGCCCATCTAGCACATCTTGTCCTACTCTGCCCGGGTTAACATGACGCAACTCGTTTTTGCCCGTGTATTCTTCCTTGGACCATAGGCTAGCAGCGTCTTGCTTGTTTCCAGAACACATATCGAGGGTGTCCAACCTATTGGTTTGCATCTTGGACGAAACATGACAGTTGATCGACGCATCATGAGCGCCAAGGTTTCCCAAACAAACCGTGAGACCTCCTATTAGGAGAAACAGCGTTTTTTTATTCATTGTTCAGCTTGTATCAGTGTAATTGTACTAAAGTAGGTCGAAGAGGCAGCTCGATGTGAGGAGATGATCTCTGGTGCAACTAGGCAATAAGGGCCAGGTTCGACAGATATATTTTATTTATATGCTTTGCGGAAGTATAGTAAAATGTAGAGCGGGGTTAAACTTTTAATTAATAAAAGTATATTATATAATAAAAGCTAAAAGCTTAGAGTAATATAACTTAATATATTTAAAAATTATTTTTAATATTAAAGGTTCTTATTTATTCTTAAAATATAATTTTATTATAAGCTTTAATAGAATAAAATTTAGGTTTAAAAGTAATAATATTTATACTACAAAGTTATAGCCCTAGTTAAGAGACGTAGTTCAGCGGTTAAAGTCTTTAAATATAAGGGTATAGTTCTTGGATTATTATTCTAGCTAAATAAATTAAAAGCTATTTTTTATATTCCTAATTCTTGTCGCCTTATTACCCGAATATATATATAAGTATTTTCGTGGCGGAGAAATACTTTTCTTGTAAAATGTTTAAATAAAATAATTTTATTTGTCCTACATAATAACAATATTTATAGCATGGGTAGTATTTCTTGGGAGTAGTAATTGGGGCTTGTATATTATATATAAACCTACTTTTTAAAGGTGTGCTCCCCTTGGAATATAATACATATAATATTTACAAGTATACTAGGCGTTTTTTGGTCCCGCTGCCGCTTCAGAATAGTAAGATAAAAGGCCGGAAGTAACCACAGCTGCGCATCGCGTTGATAATACTCGACCAGATATTTTATACTTTTATGCACTGGTGCAACACAGCAAAAGGTTCTGGTGTGGACATGGCCGACCCCGTCCGATTTGGTTTGTATCCCTGCTTTCAGCGTTTCCCATGATTGACCTGTACGCAATCGGCCAACGAGGCGTCGAGTGGCATATTTTGTGGCGTCACACTTTCTCGTGACGGGCCTGGCGTCACTCCGTTTTCACAGACGCCAACTTTCAGATTTAGCCACTGCGTTCCAGCATTTGGTCTCGGCATGACCATCGCGCAGGGAATCACGTCAATCTGGTTCGAGGCTTTGGCCCGGAAAAGGACCCGAGTCCCTAAGCCATGCTCTTGTAAAAATCTACCATTTGCTACCCTGGGAGTACTGCTTTATTCCCAACATGTGCAAGATGAAGGCGTAAGATTGTTGTCGGGCAGCAGGTTTCACAGCTGGCGGATTCAGATCTTGGCAATCTCACAATCCGCAGCGTCCTTGGCCGCCGGGAATAGATGCAGCGAGTATTTTGGCTCTGGCCGTCATGACCAAAGCTCCAAGTACAATGGAGCGGCTGCTAAAGTCGCACTCTTCGCTTGTCCTCATCATCGTCTTGACACTTTTCTGCACCATTACGCTACTGCATCTCCTTACCGTCGTCGAGTTTTTCCACCAGGCCGGCACGCAGCCCAACGACGGCGCCGCGCGTCCTCGCCCAGTCTACGCAGTTGCCCACCGCGTGCTCACGACGCAACAAGTCGGCGAGGCGCTACGTCAGGGCGCAAATGCGCTCGAGATTGACGTCACGGCCTGGAAGCAAGGATGGTTCGGAGACCACGACGGCGTCTGGGAGAATATAGGCGATTCCGTCGACACGCTCTTTCGAGCCGCGGCCAAGGCCCGAGAAGCCGGGAGCAACCTCACCTTTGTGTGGCTGGACATTAAAGACCCGGACTGGTGCGATCCGCACGACAAGGACTGGCGACACTGCTCGGTGGCCGCTTTGCAGGAACAGGCACGCCAAATATTGGAACCGGCGGGTGTTCGTGTGCTGTACGGCTTTGCCGACGATACCGCCTGGGGTGTTGGGTACGACTTTATCTCGCGCCACATCAACAAGAACGAAGCTCTCAACTTGGATGGCAAGGGACAAGACCTCCAGGAGCGTTTTCGAAACGCCAATATGACGGACATTACACGGCGGGTACTGTCGTACGGGGCTTCGTCGGTAACGTGGGACTTTGGAAACTGCTATGAAGACGGCGTTTATACGTGCACGGTTCTTCGCCAAGCCATGGAGTCGGGAAACTTTGGGCGCGTCTTTGCCTGGACGCTCCACGGGGGGGAGAGAAGAAGCGTGGTCGACTTTTTGTTTGGGAATGCCGGCGTCGATGGAATTATATATGGATCTGAAAATGACCCATTTCGGGACAACTTGGATACTCGCGCCATCTATCAAGATATCAGAGAATGGGTGGATAGGAATAGCCATGGGCGATATTGGGCAGCGGCAAATGATAGTCCGTGGTAAGCACCTAGGCGTCTTGTTAGCTACATGCGGAGAGAAAGCTGTAAATCATGTTGAGGCTGCAGATTCCCGAGCACTCTATTGTATCTGATTACGACCAAAGCAGAGTTTCCCACTACATATGCCTTTGCTTTTGGGGGGCGTGGCTCTAATTGTAGAGGACAGTTTGGAATATGATTCTTAGGAAATCCTGAGGATGAATTGGACAAGGATGTATTCTAAATCGTAGCGTTTAGTAAACAGAGAGGGAACGTGTTCGCCGAGTGTCTTCCAGTCAATGTTATCCAACCCCTGCAAGGCAAAAACATATTCCCAGTAGTCTGGATACCACCCTGCGAATTCCCAGTCGAGAAGTGCAACGATTCGGCCGCCAGATACCAGAATGTTTCGAGCGGCAATATCGCCATGTGTAAAGACGATGGGATATTCGTTGCCAAGCTGGGTGGTGATCTGGTGCCAGTACATGGACTCGGCCTCCAACCGTATCGGGGGCCGAACAAGCCAGTCGTGTAATTCGGACATTGTGCGGAATGGCCCGCCCGAACGCGTAAAGATGCTCGGGACCACGACGCCCTGGCCGTCCACGCGGCCGAGGTATATACCGCCGAGGCGTCGCATCTGCGCAATGTAGTCACGCAGTTGAGCCAGGATCTCGGAGCGCTGGTCGAGGGTTAGGGTTGGCCACGCCTCCTTTAGCGTCTGACCCTCGATGTATTCCATAGTGATACGGTCCCAGTCACTGCTGATGACTTCTGGGACGGGGATTGTAGTGTGTTCTTTGATGAATCGTAGCGCTAGACTCTCGTTGGGATGGTCATGCACGCCGAAACCATGAGGGGATATGATATATTTCGTGATAGTATCACCGTGTCGTACTACACGGCGGCTATTGCATTCGTAGATGATGTCGCCTTCGGGGTACGGGGCTGGCTGTCGCTTGGGGGGCGGTGAATCGCCAAAAAGAGCACGCGTGCGATCTTGGGCCATTCTTTGCTCTATGCGAGCGAAGCCCCTGGGGTGTGTCATTTTGTGACTTCACCGTTGCTTGCGATTTTCGACTGTGGAAGTGGTGTAGAGGGGAGAATTGCAGACCACCAGACATGATGGATGCCGTGTCGGTTCGAGCTCCACCAATGACTGTGCGCCAAAACCTGCGGGGTCATCATTCCAACGTGCACTTGACATGAATGCTTTCATATGTACTCATGTCCTCGCCTTGATGCAACCTGTTCAAGGAGAGGATCAACTCGTCATGGTGCTTGCTTACCACCAACACACCATCTTGGATGGACATGCCCATGTGGATTCACGGGGGGATGTCCTTTTCTAGGCGATCCCAGGCCAATACCCCAGGAGCTTCCATGGCCATTCCAAGTATCTAGAGCGTCAATTGCATAAGACGTCCACTTCAGTATACATATGTACAGTCACACCATTTCCACGATGTGATCCAACAAGCAAACGGGCCCAATACAACAGCGAGCCCCCCAAATGCCACAAGAATAGTTAAACCAGCAAGGTGTGAATTCTTGTATTCGGTGCTGCGAACCTTGACGGAGGAGTAGAGGCACAGCCTACCCTAGGGGGTTTATCTGTTGCTTGGTTGGCTGTGAGCGTTCGATTGTCAGCAGTGCAGCATTGACTCGATTCAAATCCCCCGCGGCCATCTAGATAGATCTTGTCAGCTTGATAGGCGAGATAGCAAGTGCCAGTAGATGCCACAGAAGCTGCTCGCACGCAGCTGCCGAGAAGCCGGATTTGAGTCGGCTCATTCAGGAGATCGCCTCCATCTGCAAAGGGCTGGCTAGTGTGAGCAAAACGTTGGCCGCCAAGGCGGCTACAGCCTGGGTAACACGGTTGAAACTCATCAATGACATCTCGTTTTGTCACTCTCCCTGTCTTGTTCCCTGCAAGGCAACAGTGAGGCTGTCTTGTCCACTCGCGCGTGTGAAAGGCCATGCATGCCTGCCTGACAACAATCTTGTGAGACATTTTTTGTCCACCGTGGGCAATTGTCACAAAAGCATTGGCAAACTTTCCAAGGGTACAAGCTCAAGAAAAGTGTACATAGTACGGAGTAGTATGGCAACTTTCAGAGCTGAACGGCCCTCCTGCCGGCCAAAGATGACTGCCGACGCGGATTGATCGCCAGGCCACCATTACCACACCCTTATCCGCACGAGATCCTTGTCCTGCATGTCAGTACATGGAGTCCAGACTTTCTCGTCTAGGCGGGGAAGTCAAATTTTTACAAACTGGACAGTCGTATATAGCAATAAGTAGCCGTCTAAAAGCAAGAGGTTGGCCCATGAAGGCATGGCGCAACAACTGGGCATGCTACTCCAACTCGGCAGACATTTGCAAAAACTAAGTGCCATTGTACTCTTGACATTATGAGGGGCATCGATCCTACCCGTCCTCAGACCGCCACTCCTACAGGAGAAAACGTGAGGGACATCGTATACTCTTTTGAGAACGCCACTCAGCATTGTCGGTCTGGGCGACAGAAAAACCGTCGAGCACCCAATATCGAGACTGATGTATATGAAGGTAAGCTCCATGCGGTCAAGCTGCAGTCCGAAGCCGAGAGCTCTAGAGCAGTCCCTGCCATACCGGCCAGGCCTGCCCCGGGAAAGGGCAAAGCACAAGCAGCACCCGGATGGGAGAACGACGATGCCACAGAGATTTGCAAAGACAGACCGTCGAGAACGTCGAATCGTCGACGGGAGCGAGAGCTCGAGTCCCAACTTGCCCTTGCCAAAGAGGACGTCGCTCGGATTTCCGCCCAACACACGAAATGTGAGGTTGAGATCGAAGGACTACAAAGTGAACTAGCCAGACTACGACTTGACAAGCTCGAAGTTGCGCAGAGGGCGCAAGAAGTCATGGCAGAGATGGAAATAGAGATGGACAAGAAAATGACGCGATTAAAAAAACGAATCGAAACCGCCGAGCACAAGGAAATCGAGCTCAAAAAGGACCTGGAAGCAAGCCAGACCCGAGAGCACGACTTGATCCGCGAAATCGGGGAGCTAAACGAAACCGTTATCAAAGCCTCCGAGGAGCTTCGCCAAGACTGCGAATACCAAATAAGCCGGCGCAGAGAATTGAGAAATAGCGCGGGCCATAAACAGCTCCCTGTGCAAACAGAGGTAGTATCTAGCCCGAGAACCCCTGTTGAAGAGGTAGACGGGCATTCAAAGTACGACAGTGATTCTACGCCCCATGGTTCCGTCTTTGATTCTACGACCGCAACAAGCAACTCCCTTCTTGGAACCTCGGTAAGCACTCGCACAGATTTGACCGCCGATGCAGACCACGAGCAGAACCAAAAGGGTGTCAGAGGCAGTACAGCACGCAAAGACCAAAGGCACTACTCGAACAGCACAAGGACGTCTCTATCTAAATCTAATGCTAGAGAGTCCGAGAACAGCTTGTTCTTTGTACGAAAAAAGGGGGAAAGGCCTGTAAGTGTGGGAATATGTACCGAGCCATGTCTACCATTGCTGACTCTGGACCTGATGCAAAGCGATCTTCTCTCGATGACACTACACTAGTACGTGTTGGCATTCTTTGGCTTCAACTTGGGATGGATAACCGCTGTGGTGTATGGCGGTATATAGAATGATTACGCATCGCCCTGCTGTGGGCGAGGTCATGTGTGTGGTCTGTATCTCTTGGACTGCTGCGCGGGATGTATCATGGCGACGTCTATTGAGCGAGGAAGATGATGTTACTGGATGAAAATGGGAAATTGTCCAATATTGTCTCAAGGCCGGTTAATTGTGTTTTCTTCTTCTTCTTTTTTTTGGCATTGTTTCAGAGAAAGGCCTCTAGAATGGAAGTTCTGCTCTGCCAATGTGTCCAGATGCGTGTGGTCACGTAAAATGTTGACTTCAATCGATCGAACTCCTGGTTAAACGGGAAAGGTTGGTATTTTACACTTTGTGTCTCGTTTTGTAAGCCATTACGCATGATTTACGCTATACTGTGTGTTAGCGTCATGCTGCTTTTATAGATCACTCCTCTCACAACCCTCGTCTCATAAAGTGCAGGAAAAAGCTCGTTTACTGTGCAAAAAATACTATATTACGTATAAAGTAATAATAATAGGGATCCTAGCGGCTGAGGATGTGTTATATTTAGTCGACTGAAGGATGAAAGGTCTCGATGTTACTACTAAATTATCCTTCTGATATCACTGTTAATTGTAGCATCCAAGCGTGTTACTTGATCGATTCAGTGCCTTTATCAGATGCCTATAAGTGCTCTTCCCCAGAAATACTGGCGCTCTCTTAGCGGATTCGAGTATCGACCTATTGAGCCCGAGAACTTCTGGTGTTCCTTACTCCGTTTCGTGGCTGTTTACGTCTTCAAATATTTGGAATGTAATACTCCCTATAGGTTCCTTGGTTGGTCGAATATTGACATGTCTCACTTGCAAGTCAATGTCGAGGCGGGTTCACTTATGGAGAGTCTCATGTCCCTGTAATTTCCTGTAGCTCTCTTTGAGGATTACCGTTTCAGTCTGACACCCTCTTTTTAGGTGTATGAGGGCTTGAATTATCTGCCGATATATAAGCCACCTCGTAGTTGTTGCTAGCAAAAATATCCGTTGCAGCCCCGTAAGAATTGACACCGTGTGCCAGGCGCGGCACAATTCGAGACCGAGGCTAACACATACGGCCAAATATAGACTTTGAAAAGGCAGTTTATTAAGCTAGGTCCAGTTCTGTCTATTGACAAATCCGCTGCAAGTCTTAACAATAAAGCCCACCATCCTCATCGATTGCCGTAAACCCAGACACGCCAAATGGATCCCGCTTCGTCAGATTCGCATCCAGGAATGTAAACGGCGAAGGGGCCCCTGCTTGGGGATTATTCGCAGGATCCAGCGGCTGGATGCCAATGCTGTTCGCCAAATCATACGCAAGCGTCACGTTAGACGGCAAGTTGGGACTGCTATAGAGCGTGCACGACCTCTTGCCGCCATCACCCTCCATGAAGGTGTGTTTCCAAACCCAATTATCACAAATGTTTGATAGTTCCAGGCATTTCGCGGCGCAGTCACAGGCTGATTTGAAGCCGTCCTTAAAGTAAAAGTGTAGCTCAGTGGTAACGCCGGTCATATCAATGCCTCGGTAGTAGCGGACACAACCGCCGGTAGGGGCTTGGAGGGTTGGGAAGCGCTTTGTGGTGATTTGCTCCTTGCAGATGGCCCATTTTTCGTAGTTTTCAAAGTCGGGGAAGATGTCTTCCTTCTCGCAGTGTTTTTCGCCTTGGGGAGGATCAGTAGCTCCTCCGAGGGCGGCGAGAGACAGAAGGGTGATGACTGTCTTGATGAACATGGCGTAGGTCTGGTAAAAGAATGGTGTAGTTGTTGTGTTGTGTAATATGTTTGAAAAGTCAGAATGAAATAATTGCTTGACAGACTAAAATGAAGAGAAAAAGACTCCCGGAACAGAGAGTTTATATAAACGAGTGTTTAGTAGGTACCGTTTGGCCTCGGAGATCCCGTGTCGAATATCTCCGAAAGACGAGACCCGTCGTAAGGAATGGACGTCAACAAAATTCACAACAAATTGCACATGTTTGAGGCCTAGACATTGCATGTCTTGGATATATCATGCCGACCAAAGCCCGCGCCGAAGGAGTTGATTGGGCAATTGGCAAATCCGACGTCGCTAAAAGGAATTGTGGCTTCTCGGGGCATCGTTGGAGCCGCTCGCGGACATTTGGCTAGGAATAACGTGTCGGCTTGTCTTGGTATTTAGGGAATCTGGGTGGAATGCTGCTGGTAACGGTTTTTGCTGTTTCATTCATCATGTAAGAAGAGTGTTTGCAGCTCTTGAGGAGCTGGGTAGCTATTTACATAGTCGATGCCCAGGGGCATATTTTGAGACCTTCATTTGGCGGCGTCATTACATCGGCATCAGCCGAGCAGATCCAACGGCCTAGCCCCTTGCATAAAAGAGAGAAAAGGTCAAAATAAACATTCTTAGTTCATGTAGGAATTCAACTTCGTGTCACAAAAACAACGCGCTCTAATTGAGCAGTATCTGTACTTCGCTATACGGCGATGGAGCTCAAGGTACAACATTGAAGCCTTCGGTGTTGGTAACAAGTCGCCCAGCTACTACTGCATCCCATTTATCTGGGGTATAGCCGTCTCTAAAACTGAGTCACAAGTCCGCCTATGTACATGTAACGTTGTTTGAATACCCTGCTTTTCTCGGTTTAACCCTAGGGCAAAAGTGTTGGTTACTGTCTAATCATCAAGCTGCGTCAAGCTTCGCCCTTGCATTCTGAATAGCCTGTTAATTTCCTGAGAGAATTCTTGCGAAAACGTCTTCGCGAATTTCTATTTTACTGTTACACGGAAAAGGCCTAACGCATCGTGAAGCCTAATAAAGGGGCCTCACCGACAAAGGACCTATTCGTTACACAGATTGAACACATGCCCGGGCAGAAGCCCTAGACACGAATGTTCCCTGTATATATATATATATAGTGGTTACTGATCCCTCTCTTCCTCTTAGAAAACCAAGGACCTTTGACACCCTTCAAGATTATTTCTGAATTTGAACCTTTGTAACAGTAGGAATTTGACGAACTCTTACCAAACGCATCCATGGTGCTGCATCAAACGACTTTACGCCTCTCTTGTCCCCGGACGGGCCGCGAGAAGGCGGCTGACCGACTATCGAGGCGCTTTAGAGAGAAGCCATAGAGCGTAAAGGGAAATATGGCTTACGTGTATGGGCTGGAAGTCGGGCAGTTACGAAACGTCACGGGCTGGCGCAAGCAACATGACGACAACGGATTTTCACCGACGATGGTGCCGCCGAACTTGTATTGAATGGAGCACGTTGACTATATGCAAGCCCGTTCGCATCTGGTGTTGTCCGCATCCGGGTAGCCAAAACTCGATGTCCTCATCTGACGGCGAAAATACGCGTATAAACCAAGACACCGGACACAAACAATTTCCCTAAATTGGCGTACCTGCGGATTTGGCACACTATACTTGCCCTTAGTATTATCGCATGCATCTTATCTACTATGTCAAACGTGTTCTCTTAATAGTATTAACCGTGCTATTTCCGGCGAATATTCCCAAGGAAGACGACTACAGCATTACAAGTGCCGAGGCCATTCGAAAACGAGCAAAATGGCTGCGTATGTTCAATTAGTAGGTGGTGTGGGGATTGGATGGGCATCTTCTGTTGCCATTGTAGTCGTTGCTCATCTCTGGCGCCTGATGTGCGTATCAACTTCATATTCAAGATCCTTGGGGCTGTCTCATATTGTGAGCTTTATCGAGACCTCTTGCTTCGCCTCAACGTCGGTCCCTAGTTTAACCACAGCTCTAACACAATGGCAGTCGGAACGTGAAACGCGCGGGCGTAAACAAGGCTAAAGCCGCCCTCTCCAATTTTATAGTCAAAATAGTATTTTTTGCTAACAAGGGTATCCTACGAAAAGACATTGACATGACTACCACCATATTAATTTAATTCATTCCGGATATTCGTGCCTTGATGAAGTGACGACGCCGCCATGGCAAGGAATGCGAGGAAAAGAGTGATAGTCTGCTGTCAAACAAGTCGGCGTTTTGGGGAATCTCACCAGCACTATCAGCCGGCCTTTAACGGATTTAATGCTGGTGGCCTCTTTTGCTCCTACGGGGAGATGCAGCCACCGGGTCGCTCATGGTCTCGCTTGCTAATAATAGGCTCAAGAAGTTATGTGTATATATGAGAGCAGTGTGATGAAATAACTCGCTCGCACTGGATGGCGAACTCTGCGTCCATTTGAAAAGACAGTCGGTCAAAGCAAGACAGCCATCCGGCCCACCATCAATGAATACGCTTACGAAAGTTCCCGACGTAGGGGTTTCTCCCAACCATGGGGTGCCTCGCTCGCACTGGCGATACTTTCGCCACAGAGAAGAAATAGCCGTCTTCTCCAAAATTCCTTCCCATTAAAGCAGCTCATATGGATCTGTGGTGAGCTGAAGTCGCCAAAAACAGTCGTAGGCAGCGGTTGGAAGGACGCGAAAGACACGCGGCGTAGCATTTGTGTGGTGTCACCGGTGTGGCTACGTGGAAGCGACTGCTACAGTCGCTTGCGACAGAGCCAGTAATCGAAGGTCGCTGTGACCATTTCACCCGTATCTCGTCTTGCCGCGATGACCCTGCATCCTAGTCCAAAAAGTGTAGTTGTCCCTCCATCTTCTGCAGCATCTCCGGGTAGTGGACTGTTGGTCTGTCGCTTGGAAACGCGAACCGGTTGACCATCAAGCACGTAGTGCCTGCGGGTGATGAGTGATATTGACACTATTATACCCTCAATACCAGAGGCAAGCCATTGGAATTATACTTAGTTGATGCATCATGTCATATGTAGGCGGTTGCTACATACTCCGTATACGATTGAGGGGATGGACCCCTCACACCCGCACCTGAATGCACTCGTTTCCAAACTTGGGAGTATCGGGGACAACTAGTCTACGGCATCTCTCCCGTGTATTGGTTGTCTTGTGTTACAATTGGAAGCGGGGTAAGGATGCATCCAGAGTAACCGCCTCTTTATCAATATATAAAATGCTGGTTTTTGACGCGAGGAAGGATGGTGATGAAGAGATTTAGAGCCGGGCCGCTATCAAAAAACTTAAAGCTCCCCTTCTTGTTGCTCATTTTCACTTCTAATCTTCCTTACAACCATATCTATTACTCTTCATCATGAGCACCCCAAGCGACAACCATGACTTTGAATTTGCTCAAAAGGGTCTTGTTGCTACTTTTGTAGATCCATTCATCTACTCCGATCGGAAGCAAGAAGTTATCTGGGACAATGACGCCTACAATTTCCTTCAAGAAGAGGCCCCAGAAACTGCTAACAAGTCTCTATGGAGACAGGGGCAGCTCTGCGCCGTGAAAGCAGGTCTTTACCAAGTCACCACTGGGATTTACCAAGTGCGTGGGACGGACATAGCCAACATGAACATTATCCAGATTCCGGATACCAACGGCATCATTATTATCGACTGTCTGACCTGTGTAGAGACCGCGCGAAAGTCCCTTAATCTCTACCAGGAATTCCACAAAGGCCAGTTTGGCCAAGACCCAGAGATTAAGGCCCTCATCTATACCCATTGCCATGGCGATCACTTTGGTGGCGCCCAGGCAATTACAGAGATTACGGGTGATGATCTGAGAATTATCGGTCCTGACGGTTTTCTGGAACATGCTGTGAGTGAAAATATTTACGTTGGAGCAGCAATGGGCCGTCGATCGATTTATATGTACGGAGAAGGATTGCAAAAGTCGCCAACAGGACAAATTGGCTGTGGGTTGGGCCAAGCGTTGCCGTCGGGAACCAGCTCCTTGCTTGCGCCAAATCAATACATCAAGCAAGATGGTATTTTGTCCCCTGGTATTGAGGGGCTGGAGATTATCTGCCAGTTGACCCCGGGCACAGAAGCCCCGGCCGAAGTCAACTTTTACTTTCCGGCATACAAGGCCCTTTGCATGGCGGAAAACGCAACTCATACCTTACATAACATCCAGACACTTCGGGGCGCCCAGGTTCGAGATGCGAGGCTCTGGTCGCGATACCTTGATCAAGCTATTGCCTTGTTCGGCGATAAAACATCAGTCGTGTTTGCTAGCCACCACTGGCCGACTTGGAATGAAGACGGCCAGAACTTGGTCCTCCCCTTCCTGGAGGAGCAACGCGATTACTATGCGTACCTTCATAATGAAACGCTCCGACACCTCAACAGCGGCCAGACTCCCGTGGAGATTGCCGAGAGCATCGAGATGCCGCCGAATCTGAGCTCCAAGACGCACCTCAGGGGGTACTATGGGTCTGTCAACCATAATGTCAAGGGCGTGTATGACAAGTACATGGGCTGGTTCGACGGCAACCCGGCAAATCTATGGCCGCATACCCCCGTAGACGCGGCGACGCGATATGTCGCCTGCATGGGCGGCAGCGATCTAGTTCTGGCCAAGGCTAAAGACTTTATCGCGAACAACGATTTGCGATTTGCAGCCACTCTTTTAAGCCACCTCGTTTTCGCCGATGACACGAACGCTGCTGCAAGGAAGGAGCTGATATCAGTCTATACAACACTCGGGTATGGTTGCGAAAACGGCACGTGGCGGAACATTTACTTGACGGGGGCCTATGAACTGGACCACGGACCCCAGGCCGCTATCAACGCAATTTCACTCGAGTCCTTAATGTCTGTTGATCTCGACGAGCTCTTTGACGTGGTGGCCATCAACGTGGATGGCCCTCGGGCATGCAATGAGCCGGGCGTCACCATTGAGTTCATGATAGGCGATATGAAGGCGTCGCCCAAGCAGCCGACTGAAGGTGCGGGCTGGCACGTCCGGCTGAGCAACGGTGCCGTCACGGGACGGGCTGTCGAGTACGTGCCGTCTCCGGAGCCGCGGGACCCCAATGCTACATTAACTGTGTGGCTCTTGCACAAGGCTCTTGTTGAACTGGTGGCATCGGCGGTGGCGGGTAAACCCACGAGCATCGACTCTCTTGATAACGTGACCACCTATGGGGATACGGCTGCGTGGGATACGATTACCTCACTCGTTACGCAACCAAACGTTGCGTTTAACATTGTTACGCCCTAAGTTGTATCTACTGAATAGCTAGAATGATTGTATGAGACCCCCTTGTCAAACCCTTGGTGTGTGTGTGTGTCAGGCCATCCAAGGAAAGTACTACACGTTGGGTAAAGACTTGAAAACTAGAATTATTACCATGGTTTGATTGGATCAGGCGTAAGGGGTTAAAGGCTGGCGCGGCGACATGAGCTAGGTAAAGTCCCCCTTTCCAGACCGCGCCGCAGCTTTAGACCAGTTTCCGGACATCTATCCCGGTACCTCTTCCACCAACAGATGTTCAACTTTTAAGGCGTCAGATATAAGTATACCTTGGACTGCTATTAACATGACCATTCTCGCATATGCCCCCCGCGAGACCACGACGGATCACCCATGTCTATTTTACGACCATCCACTTGCCTCGGCAAAGCCATTGGGATCAAATGTGTGCGAGTTACGCGTTTTCCCTTCTCCCTTCCAACACATCTCATTCATATTATGATATGTGTGGGCTCTAGCCCTGTTATTCGTCCGAGTATTTGTTTATTTCCTTGCATACATACCTTCCATAACAAATCAGTTTCACGTGCTGGTTGGAATAATTTAACAACGTCCTGCACTTGCAGTTTGTAGAACCGGGCGTCATCGGCATAAACAGGTAAACGAGCAAAGAAAAATACAGTTTAACCTACACATTTTTTTTTCTAAATCATACCCAGAGCAGAAATTCCTCGTGCTATCTGCTCTTTGCTACTCGTGCCACAGCTCTGGATAGCTTGAGTCAGAGTTCTCCTTAGGAGATTACTTTTCCTGCTTGTGTACAGTCGCTTGAATAAACTCTCACTCCATCTTGCTCGTAGTCTTGTAGTCTTCCTTCAGGTTTCGTTCTGCCTGCTGATCTTCCACCGGTCCGAAATTGGCGACATCCCACTGTCTCTGGGGGACAGCGTCCAGAGCATTGCCATATCGTGGTAATTAATTAGCCGCTCTTTTCTATGATAATACATCGGCAGCCTGGTAACCAGCTGGCGGCATACATAGATGATAGAACCAGGTAAATTGCTGACTAAGATTCGCGCCAGGATGATGGCGAGTCGCGTATTGACTCGTCGACGCTTCCTGATCATAATCAACGCGTGTCAGTGTCCAGCAGCAACTAAAGGAATACCTCTAAAAGATATGATATTCTCTGCTAGGAGAAAACACTCGCCGTCTGATGAATTTATTCAAGTATTGTAAAACACGGTCACTTGTGGCCTTGACACATTCACCGTGGCCTCCATCAGCTGCGGTTGCACCTCGACTGGATTCCTCTTCGCCCATCGAAGAGGAGAAGACCCCATACTATGCCGCCCGTCATTTCTATCCTGTTTTCCTTAGCCAGGTGCTGAACGGTAGATATCAAATTGCAACTAAACTTGGCTATGGATCCAGCTCGACGGTATGGCTAGCCAGAGATCTACACAGGTGTTTCTTCCTCTTCGTAACGTTTGACGCTTCAGTTTTAACCCTAATGGCTTGGTCCCAGTTGGCGCTGGTCTCAGCAAAGATATGTCGCACTCAAGATAAATACCGTCAACTATCGCCGTTGTCAGCAAACTTCTGAAAACGAACTCGCAATTCTCCAACACATTTCCGACAAAAATCAAGGACATGAGGGTTGGAACTTTGTTAGAAGACTATTGGGCTCATTCACATTGATGGTGCCTCCGGAACCCATCTGTGCCTTGTTCTCGAACCCTTACGAGAACCATTATGGTTGTATTGCCGGAGGTTTGTCGGAGGGGTGATCCCCTGTAACGTTCTCAAAATCATTCTGCAAATGACTTTACAGGGGCTCGATTATTTGCATTCAGAATGTGAGGTCATTCACACAGGTTTGTCAGACTATCCAAAGTTCCAAACACTATATACAATATTAACTCCTAGGTAGATTTAAAGCCGGATAATATTCTGGTCAAGATTGAGGACCCTGCCATCTTAGATAGAGATGCTCGTGACGAATACCTGAATCCTTTGCCGCAAAAAATTACAGATAATGGCATTATTTATCTTTCGCGAAATGACTACGGGCAGTTTTCCAAACCCACCGGGATAATACAGATCACCGACTTCGGTTCGTCGGTGTCGGGCAAGATACCACATTTTGGATGTATTCAAGCAGATTCCTACCGCGCCCCAGAAGTGATTCTTGATGGTGGTTACTCTTATAGCGCGGATATATGGAGTCTCGGAGTCATGGTAAGACCCCCAATGTCAATAGCCACGGGGGCAAGTACACCATTAATAAGACAACATTTAGATCTGGGATCTCCTTGAGGGGAGACGGTTACTCGATCCGATTGATAAGCGGATGGGCGAGGAATATGATGAGCGCGTGCACATTGCTCAGCTCACTGGTCTTCTGGGTCCACCACCTAATGATATGCTGTCTTACGGTCAGAGAACATCAATATTTTATACGCCTGATGGTCAGTTTACAACTACATTGGAAACACGAGTCCAGCTCACTGAAACGCGAGTAAAGGTAGATTCAAACACCCGGACCTAGTTCCTCAGGACATCGAATTTGAGAAGACCGTGACTAGAATCAGTGGCCTGGAGAAGGCCAAATTCCTGGAATTCGCGAAGAGAATGATCAGGTGGAATCCAAGTGAACGAAGCACGGCTAGAGACTTGCTCAAAGACCCGTGGCTCTACGAAGATTATCCATGCGAGATGTAATCTTGGGCATGCCGACGTCGCGGGGTTATGCTACATTCTGATACTAGCCAGCTCTACTAGCATGCTGATTTTGTGATTGTAGTCGCCTTTGTCATCGTCGTTGTCGACAGAGGAGTATACAAGCAGATTCACAAGTGAAGGCCGCCTTCTCTTTATACACAGGGGAGCCTAGCCTTTGCGTGTAATGCATCCTATTCTTATTCTCTAATTATTATTTTTACAGAAAATAATTCATTAGATCTGTTACCCGCCCGCCAACGTGTTCGCGGAAGCCTTTCCCCTCATGAGGTCCGGCTCGGACTGGACCCAGAGGGACCGATTAAGGGTCAAGCACACCAATTATATTTAGTAAGTGAAAATTGAGCTTTACATAATGTATCCATTCACAACCCTGCCGGCATGGTATCCGAAGCTAGCGCGGTGGCACAGGGCTCTTAGAACGGCTTGGCGGCAGGTGAGGGTTAGGGTTAGCCTGACAGCTCATTCTGTCCGCGGGTGGGAACATGGAACACTTTGTATCGCTCACACAAGCGAGTACTGCAGTATACATGTATACCTAATGCAATTAACGGGCGCGAATTCCAAAGTACCGGGGCCTTCAAATGTCCGCATTAAAGTCTGGTCTGGTGGTCCCTGGTGCCTGAGCCCATGTGCCTGAGCCGCCGAACCAGCGTCTGGTACCTGGCCTGGGCCAATCACATCTATCAACCCCTGTCTCGCGTGCCCAACACCAGAATGGCCCTCGACTTGATCGCGGGTCCTTTCATCCCCAGCCTCATTCCCACTCCATTCCCATTCCCATCCTTGCCTGTGCGAGGGCACATGTCACTCATTTACTCATTCGCTAATTCACCTATCCATCCGCCTCTCTCCCACTAAGAAGCGCCAGCCGCGCGCGCTCTCTGCCCAAGTGCCGGCTCTGCCAACGCAGCTGACCTTCTCTCGTGTCCGCTTGGCCCGCCTCCTCACCGCATGTCGTCCGCCGCGCGCCAGTCCCCAACCCCCAGATTGATGGCATGCGCATTCCTTCCCTAGCTGCGACGGGCTTGTCGCTGTCGCTGCCTCGCCTTGGCGGCCACTCCAACTCCGACTCGGACTGCGGCTCGGCCTGCGTCACGCCGAAAAGAGAAGACACTTCCACCATCTGGGCGACGCCTCACGACAGCTACTCGTCGTCGATTGGGGTGCCCGGCTGCAAGATCAACACGGATCGCGTGGCGTATTGGCCACAGTCGGTCGACTGCGACAATATATGTGTCTCGCTCGAGTACGACGATCGTCGAGTCTACCTCCTCCGAATCGACCAATCCACCGGCGCCCACGACGTCAGCTACGATGCGTGGAACTACCTCTACACGGGCAAGTCTGCCACGGAGAAGCCAACCGCGGGCGGTCCCGTGGCCATGCAGTACCGCAACGTCGATGCGTCGAGGTGCAAATCCCTCATTCACACCAAGGACAACAAACTACCCCTGAGCGCTGCCAACAGCATGAACTTTCTTGCCGGCTGTCTGGCGCAGCCCGACAGTTGGGTGGCAAACAACTACATGACGCTCAACATTGTTGACTCGATATGCACTCTGGGCGTGGACGAGCAGTGCAAATTACACTGGCCGGATGCCAATCAGCCGTCTTGTCCACACGTCTTGGGCGGGCAGGTTTCCCTCAAAGACGCCCCCGTTTATAACATTCAGTACCCATCAGGGAAGAAGGTCCTGGCTTCATCCGGACTCCCCAGCGCTGGCGGCGGCGATGAGGATAATGCTGCTGGACGTGCCCGATGCCCGTGGGTCTTGCTTGCCTGGTGCTTCGTCCTTTTTCTGTCTTGTTACGATTTTTAATGCCATGGTGTTTGTTTGAACTTTGTCTTGTATACCCCTTTCACTGTACATTTACCTGGAGTGTACGCCGCGCGATGCCACACTGATGTACATTTACCCATTTATTCATAGCTACGGAATTGAGGCTTTTTTACCGTTTGTTGAGCATGTACCGTTCGGTGGCCGGCCCGATTTTCAGGTTGCTACCGAGCTTAGATTGAAGCTTAAAAGCTTGTTATAGGACCCAAGCAACGCCTCGTTTACGGGACCGGGGAATGTGCGGCCAGAATGGCCTCGGCCGGCGGCTATGGTTCCCGATGCAAGTTAAAATTCTTCAGTTAAAACTATGGGCGGCCGACCTTCTCACAGCCACGGCGACATCCGAATTCGATTACGTACCCGAATCACGACTATTTAAGAATATTGAAGCCAGCCTTCCGGAAGTGCAGCAGGGGTTGCATCAGTCTCGTCATCTGACCAACTCCCCAAGCCGTCGTATTACCAGTGGTTATATTCAACTCAACAGCTTGGCATTATACCCTGCCCCGTCGCGACCAACTCTTGCGTCGCCGCGGCCCTCGGCCAGACCAATCCCACACTCTTCGGCTCTTGGCCGCCGTCGAGGAATCCCCGTCTTGTCAATCTCCCGAACCCATCCGGCGGGGCCCCGGAGCACTCACCTGAACAAAAGGACGCACAGTTATGCACCTTGGTTGGCAAACCTTCCCCAGGGAGAAATCATGGGTAACGACATGGCGCTAATACGGAGTCATGGTTAGAACTATTGCGCATCGGTGGATCACAAACGCCCTGCAACCCGTAAATGGGACAGGCTTGCGAGCGCGAGCTTTTGCGACTAAATCGACACATATATTTCCATTCGATTTCCCCGGATGAGGCATCTTGAACTCATCTGTCCATCAATGCGTCCTTGATATTGTCGTCTACACTCATCCTCCATCACATCCGTCATGATGCGCAGCGTCTTCACAGTCTTGACTGCTATTGCAGCAACAATAGCAGCCAGTCCCATCTCGCACTCCAACACAACCAGCGGATCCCTCATATCTATAACGGACAGTATCATGTTCAACATCCCACTGCCCGAGTTCACTATCCGTCGAGACAATGAGCTACCCAACAAAGTAGACTGGACCAGTGACGGATGCACCAGTTCCCCGAATAACCCATTCAACTTCCCCTTCTTGCCCGCCTGTCATCGGCACGACTTTGGGTATGCCAACTTTAGGCTGCAGACGAGGTTCACCAGGACCAACAAGCTAAAAATAGACATGCAATTTCGCACAGAGTGAGTGCCGTGCTGCGCTGAACCGTGTCAAGACAGGATACAGTTGCTGACGCCCTTTTTTCTGGGAACAATAGCCTCTATTACCAGTGCGAAGACAGTGCCGCACAAGGGGTTTGCAGAGCCTTGGCAAATGTGTATTACGCCGCTGTTCGGGTATTCGGCGGCCATGACCAGACGCCAGGGAAGCGCATGAACAACGGGCTGCTCTGGGAATACCACGCCTTGGTTGACATTTACGAGGAGGAGGTCCGGAAGGCCCAGGCGGCGGGAGACCTTCCGCTGCTGCAGTAGTCGCGGACATGTCTACAACTGGTTCGGATATATTAGCTACTAGATCGAAATAGAGGTACTGATTCCTCTTGAACGGGAACTTCTTGGCGCGCCGGTGCAATTTGATCCATTTGATAATGAAGCTACCTGAAACACACTCCTCCAGATCAATTTCATACCATTTGTCCCCCTGGCCGCCTTTTCCGATCCTACTCGTCTGCCATCAATCTCCTACACGCTCTCATCATACTCGTACTTGAGCCGAAACTCAGCCGGTCCGTACTTGTCCAGCCTCCTCCCCAGCGGCGTCATATCCAACAACTGCAGCGTCGGCATGATTTTGTCCCCGCCCCTCTCCCAGGTCGAATAGGTGTGGAAAATGTCCCCGTCGCGCTTGTAAAAGACACTGAAGCCGGGCACGTCGCCGGTCCACCAGCGCTTTCCCCTGGCCTCCATCTCCTGCTTGGTCCGGAAGTTCATCTCCACTGGGCACACAGACTCGTCAATCGTCGCGTGCAAGTCGTAGTTGAAGTCGGTGCCCTGGCTCGAGTACCACGGCCACGTCCAGCCGTTGGCCGCCTTGAAGGCCTGCAGCTTTTCGGGAGGCGCGCGCGAGACGCACACCAGGTTGGTGTCTTTGAACCGCAGGTGTCGCACGTCGGGGAGCGCGTCGGCGATGTGAGAGCATCCGTGGCAGCCAATTTCTTCGTCGGGGCCGAACATGAAGTGGTATACGATGAGCTGGGGCTTGCCATGGAAGAGATCGCCGAGGGTGACTGCCGCCCCGTTTTCATCGTGAAAGGTGTATTGCTTGTCTACCTTGACCATGGGGAGGGCGCGGCGTTGTTCTGTCAGCTTGTCGTTGGCGCGGGTGAGTTCCTTTTCCTTTTCGAGAAGATCTTTGCGGGCGGCGAGCCATTCGTCGCGGCTTACGACCTGCTTTTTTTTAGATGATTGTCTTTGATCTTGGTCAGCTTCCTAACCTTGTTGTTTACTGGCTCAACGGTAGTAGACATTGTGAGTGGTCTGGTTGAATGTTTTGTTGGTGTTTGCCACTGACGCTTGGGTAGCTTGCTTTGTGAATGTGGTGTATTGACTCGATGTGGGACGACACTTTTATACCCAATCTAATTTGTCGTATACTGTATACAATAATGCGCTGGCAGAGAAGAGAACTTGTGCCGTGAAATCGCAGCCACTTCTCTGATTTGCAAGTGCTGTGGCGACGTGAATGGCGCCTGTGTCTTGAGATACCGTGTGAATATTTCTGCAGCGGGGTAGTCAGAATATGAACGGCTTGGTAGACCTTGCGTGAAGGTGGCTGATGCCAAACTTAATTTATCACGCTGTATGCAAAGCAGTGGTTCTCACGGGGAGCGTTTCAAGCTGATGATTTGCTCCCTTGCGCCACATTGCATGCGAGCTTCGCATTCGGACAAGGTAGACCCAGGCCTGAACAGCCAGGGCCAATTCGTTTCAATAAGGGCATTTAATGCCAGCTTCTTGGTTCTTTGTTATCGGCCAGACTGGTCAGACCACAACGGGCAAATGGACATGTGTGCCTTGTTTCTACGAATTGTCCAGTTCTACAAGTCAGTCAGCACCACATCCAAGAAACCTTCAACTCTGCCTTATTCTTTGCCGCAATAATCGTGTGCACATGGTAACATGCGGTGCGAATAAAATCTTGGCGCCCGTTCACGCTGTTCCGCCAACGTGTTCGACCAATCACTAGGTGGACAGGCAGTTCGCTTTGCTTTTGAGATCGTCTATACTTGTCTACAATATCTACATAGACGTGTTTCCTGTCCACAGCCCGGACTTTCTGTTCAGAAACCTAGGTTCTATCACGTTACACAATCTTTTATTCCCACATTACAGTCCATCAGGCCTTGTGGCGTTTCTGAGGCTCGTAAAGAAACAGGTATCGGTGGGTGGGGAAAGACTATGGAAATTCTCCTAGGCTTGATTGATAATGACCAGAAGTTTTTTATGGACTTACACTACATTCAAGAGCTATACGTGTATATGCACCTGCTTCTGTTACTCGACTGGAATGCTCCAAAGAACGTACAACACCAGATAAAATGAGCTCCTATACGAACTCACAAGATTGCAAACATGTGCCGTTAGTTGTCTCCGGAAGGATAATTGTGTCACGCCTGCGACTGAACCTCCTTTTCGAAAACGACTCGGCTGGGGCGAGTAGGGCCCGAATGTATTGTGTCGCACAGAACTCTGAAGCGTCCACTCAGGGAAGATGGCAAAACATACTTACCGACCTACAAATTGTGGTTGGTTCTATAACTATCAATAGCACAAGACTTGGTTCTACATTGTAGACGAATCAAATATTATTGATGACCCCGCTGGTTGGTACAGTATCTTTGATGTGCTTGTGTTTCAGGGCGCCTACATGGATGCTTCTTCCTGAGCCAGAAACTGCACTTATGGTTTGTGGAATTCAAAGTACCGGAATATAGAATGCAACTTTGGCACAGCGTTTGGGTGTGAAACCGAACATCAATTCATGTTTGCAATAAGCTTTGGGTACTTAAACGCCGTTCGTGTTACGGAATATCTGTCAAGCTAATTTAGAATGCTAGTCGTTTACAAACGCTCTAATTAAGACTTCTAAGCCTTACTTGGTTGAATCTTGAGCCATGTTTCAAGGCCGAGATACAGGCAAACGTAGATGATGAGTCTGTGCCCAGAATTTCCGCGTTCATTGGCATTTCTCATGTTGCCATGGCACTGTCTCGCGAACCCTTCTCGCCCTAGTTTTAAGGGGCGGCCCGCTTGCCATAATTTGAAAGGCGTACCTTTCTCGCGTTTCATGCATTCATTTCTCCGGTCTTCAAGGCCGGTGGTGGCATCTCTTTGGACTTGGTAATTCCGACTCTGGCGGCATATATAATACACTATTTGGTTCGTCGATGCGTTTAGATATCTCCTATCGTACGATGATCATGGACACGGCGGCCCTACCTTTTTATAGTGGACGAGATGTTTGATGGATCTGAATTGTAGAAACTCCGTTGCAATCACCCTCCGACGCATGATGGTACTTGGTAACTGGTAAAGTATACTATCAGTAAATAAGAAAAATATAGCTTTCTACTGGAGGGCGAATTTGAAGAGCAGTAGTTGTGAATTGTAAATGCGATGACTACTGGACGTGGATAGTGCTTTGTTGGTGAATTTTTTAGGCTGAAGAATTCGAGATCGGCAGCCAGGGCACCTGGTTGTGAAATTGTACGAGTGGAATGCTGCCTAGAAAGAAAGTAATAGCTTTGCAAAGTCGTAAGACATGACTCTGATGTGGCATAAGTGTCTTTGGCTATCTACTCTCTGCCCCAGTGGGATCATGAGATCAAATCATCCAAGGCGGGTTGGCTTGGGTTAACGCTAAAAAAGCAATTTCAAACCGTCAAACACTATTTAGCCGCCCCAAGTTCCTTGCCGTTCACCTTGCTCCCATTATAAACCAATCTTGATAGCTGCAGCTTCAACTTCGGCCATGAACCTTGTCTGCTCTCGCTCAAAGCTGGCTTCCGCCAACTCGAAGCCGCGAGAAGGAAGTATCAAATAGAGATAGTTACAAGCATCCAGTATTCTCTCCTCTTTTAGATCTCGCCAAAGCTTGTATTCCTCAAAAGCCAGCACGAAGCGGTCGTCCAGTAACCACCAGTCTAAACATGTCTCAATGCCATCGGTTACCTGCTCGAAGAAAGAAAGGGCCACATGACCCAATTCACCACCTCGGGAAACAATTGTCACGGATTGAGGAATGCCCAGGTCTTTCAGGGTCTCCCAAGACAAGCCTTGGATGAGGTCCCAAAAGAGTTGGCTGGCGATCCAGCAAGAAGGTGCCCTCGCTCCGAATGGCCTCACAAGGAAGCCCAGAGCCAATCCGATTTCCCAGGCGTCGGAATTGGTGGGGAAAGTATCATATGCCATTCCGTGACACAACTCGGCAGTGGGTGGCAACCTTTGGCCTATTAGGAAGTTCTTCAGCGTGAGTCCACGATCTAATAAGGTCTTGATCGACACAGAGTGGACCACAAAGTCGTCAGGAATGGCCCACTCGAACAAAAACTCATGTTGAAACTTGTCCGCATCCCTCATGCCACATTTTTCGGCCAGTTTTTAGGCGGAATGGAAAGCTGCCGATGGTACTTTCCCGGCTGGTATTCGAATAAAGACAATGTAGATCGACTCCGGTGGCTCCTTGTCGACATAGTACTTGTTGAAGGCGCGTTGAAGAGTGTCAACAACTCTGTTGCTAACCGAAACTAGTGCAGTTGCATGTTCAAGGTAAAGCTTGTCTGCCTTGCGTTCGGGTAGTTTGCAATGAAGGAGAAAGTTATGCAGTAGAAGCTTCTCGTTGTCAGACAGCCTGCTACCGCTCGCACCACGTCCACTGCGAAGACCACCGACGAGGTCGCTATCAATACCGCCGTCGGATTTGATGGCAAGATTTCCAGCGCTGCTTGGAGAGCATGCCCTACTGAAGAATAAATCAGTCATAGCTGTGACAAAGGATTTTGTTTGATTTCAATGTTAATTTACTCATGCAGTCTATCAAGACAAAGTGCGGGGCAAGATGCTCTGTTGTACCGGCATGTATGCTAACATTGAAGGGAATTCGTTTCTGGGTGAAATAAAATCCGTCCATACATGTAGCGTGGCCAGGCCAGCTGAGCTTTCCAAACGTTGCGTTTTCGCGCTGGGCAAATTTGAATGTATTGGAAGGATCGACCTGACCTACTGCTCCCAGACACTAGTCGCCATGTGTAGACGTCATCTGCCTGGGTCTATGAGAGCTACGATGTGCCGCACGTAACTTTTCCGCCCTGATTGCTCGCTGAGGTCCAACCAAGCCGTAGAATCTATAGGCAAAAACGAATCTAGATTTTTACATTGCTCATCTGGCCCAAGTGTTTTAAACTGGCGGAGGTATGAATCGGCGATACTCAAATGGAGTATTTTTGCGTAGTATTTGATAGCGATAATCGCGATGACTACAGCTGGATATAAGTTCCTGAAGACAGATATACACTGCAAGTACATTTGATATGCACTCTTTACCATACAGGCTACTTGTCTGTGATAGTCTAAGAGCAAGTGCTTCACCCACCACTTGAGCAAGAAACTCATCGGTTAAGACCGGAACACCGTCAATTGCTTTCTGAAAGTCTCCCTTCGCCTCCAGAATTGCGATTTGGAAGTCATCGTTGAATTGTGTTTCCTCGTTAAATTGTGTGCGTGTGCACTGAATTCCACCGTCATCAATGGCCTGAAACCCCTTGCTCTCTTCCTCAACCTCGGCAGTTTTATATAGCAATCGCTTATCGCGGTATTAGACGCAAGGCAGCGCTTTGCCAATGGGTTAGGCGTAGTTTAGAATACATCGAGTGATGCAACTGAGGAAACGAATAGTAAGGTCCTCTACTAGAGGCGCTGAAGACATTATGCAAGGATACACCATAGGACCGCTGCGTGCAAGATCATCTACAATTAAAGATGCCTATACGTTTCTCATCTGGTCGGCCTAAGCGATTTCGCTTCGATGCACTATACGTCTTTGCCCAGGAAATTTCGTGTCGAATCGGAACTTTGCATTTCGTGGAGTGCTGTTAGTTGTAGGGCTTTCGGCGCTGTGGACCGTAATGTTCAACCATGTCCCACGCAATTCACTGACTGTTGCTCCTCCCCGCCAGTTATGAGGATGCGACCACGAAATGTTTCCTTGGGTTCGTACGGAACGAGAATATGTTGAATATGCAGTTTATCTGCCGGGATATCCTTGGACAGGAGAATAAGTCGATCCAGATAGGATCGTGACACGTCGGCTGTAAAAAGGTGTATCTGTGATGTATCATCTGGGTCGGAGAACAGTACGCGAGACTGAAGGCCAGTCGGTTAGTTTCGAAACAGGGGATGGGTCAGACTAGAAAACATACTCGATAGGAGTCTCGTAGGTTCGCCTTATTACTGTAGTCTTCAACCAATTGTCGGTTTGCTATCCCTATAATAAGCCCAAGCATGCGCGGATAGGGCAGCTTTAACGACTGATTGATAGGCCGTGAGTGCAGTGGGTGTACGGAGCTGCCGTCAATGTATGCTGTGAATAGATGTCAGTCGGCGTGACGTAAAACAAGACATTCAAAGCTCTCGACAAGGCGACCACGAAAAAAAAAAAGGTAGGGTTGTCCTGGAGCATGTCAATTACAATCTTTAGTCCGATAGTTCTGAGGCTCTCACTCAAACTTAGACCCAGAGTGGGCAAGAAGGTTACGCATCATGGCTCTTCGCCAGCCAAGATCGCTATGCTTCAGGAGACACGCCACGGCGCCGGCGCTCAAAGGTCCATGTTCCCAAAGCGGACAGTCGTCATCTGGCGCAGGTAGAGGGTCTTCAAATGAGCACAGAAACTCGACATGACGGGCCGTCCATCGCGAGGGTTTGTCAAGGAGGTTCTCTCGCTGGAGGGTTTCATACAAATGCATGGTCAGGCACATGCACGAAAGTTGCTTGTGCAGTAGAAGAGAGCGTGGAAATGTGGTCAGGGAGCTTTCTGGGGTCAAGTGTGCGTGGTCATGGTACGGATTTTATTTCACCCGGAAGGAATTCCCTTGCCACTGGAAGCTTCAGTATTATACTGCCTAAAGCATGATAAATCCGTCATCGTCGAATTGGGATTCGTAGTGGAAGAGGATGCCGGGCAACTGCAGGTTTGGCACCGAGCGTATCCTGAATGACGGACCAGAAGTTTTCGAAGTTGCCATGGTTGTAGACTGGATCCAGTTCCTGGATTGTATATGGGTCTAGTCTTTCAACACGTTTACCCTTGACAGCCGCACTTTAATAGGCAAATACCCCCTACTAGAATTTTAAAGTACTCATCGTTAAAACGCGCGGGTTTGTTGACTTTATTCTGTGTGCCATCTTTCACGGAATTGGATCTTCATCTTCAACGTATGGAGTCTCGTATACAGTCCTCCTCTCTTCTCTGACAACATGTTCAACGGGAAAATTGCTGCTGCCTGGCGTAGGACTGTCGACGAAGAAGTTTGAATCATCTTCACTGTATCCCCAAGACAGAGGGCTCCGAGAGACAACATCCGTAGTAACACTGGGTGTGCCAGGCAGGTCATCTACATGGTGGTGCTCATCAGACGCGACACCACTGCGAGCAAGACGCACGCCTTCTTCGCTATATGTACTATCCAATGAATCAACGCGGTCCGACGCCATCCCTCTCCCTCCCTGACCGAGAGTCGCGTCCGGGTGGTCGCGGGAGTCAGTCTCCGCCGCTCCATCGACACTTTCCCGTTGTTCTGCTCGTTCGTCGTCTTGTTCTGTCTGAGACTGCTTTTCATCGCTGCTCGGCTTGGACTCCTTCTTCTCCCGCCTGTTCAGTTCCACTTCCAGGACACGTGTGCCTAGAGGGACCTTGGTGACGAGGCCGTCGTCATCGCGGTCGAAATATAGAGCCCATATTCCTGGGAGCTCCTCGACGGCAGCGAAGCCCTCCCATCCCTCTAGTGTCAGTCGCCGATCTTGACGAGTGCAGTCAAAGGGACCTGTGAGGTGTTGTTGCGCCGCAGATCGCTCACCGTATTTGACTTCGTGCGTATTCTTGTCGACGTATATCCAATTGAGCATGGGTGGATCGTTGCTAATGGTACTGACCAGCCCTTCGTACGTTGAGTCTGGGTATGGCAAGTAGTAGCCCGCGAACAGATGCCCCTCGGAGAGATTGTGTGTGGCAAGATAGAGCTGACCAACAGGAGGCTTAGCTACATTCCACATTTGACATGGGGTAGATGAGTCGACACTTACCTTGGCATCTTTCAGCATGACCAATGCGCCGTCTATTTCACGCTTTCGGACGGATGGTTTGATGCAGGACACCATCAGATTACAGCGACGCGACCGATGCTCCTCACGCCTATTTTGCGCCTGGCTCTGCCGTATCCCTTCCTGGGTTCCGAGCATGGCCGGACAGATGGACAGTGCCAGCAGCAGTGGGATTGCCATGGCGATATCTTCAGTGTCATTAAACTCAATTGTTATCTTGCCCATGGCGAAAATATCCAAGGCTTGTTCAACAACAATTTCAATGCCGTGGAGCCTGATGAATGGGCTCTTGTTCGTACAACACGAGAAAAAAACGCCCCGTAGTCTTCATCGATGACAAAAAGAATCTTGAGCATGGCGTCGCCAGGTCGCTTGAAAATCTCCGACAGACGGTTGTTCCCGACGGCACTGTTTCATGAGTGTAGCCGCATCGAACCACAATGGGGCCAGTAACAGTATAACATCACAACACTCTGAGACCACTTTGGACAGGGCAGCTGTGCACGACCGTTGCGGCGACAAAAAACTGCAGATCTTGCCGGCAATCAAGGCCTTTTTATGTTGCATGTCCCCTAGTTTGGTTGCGGTAAAACTGGTTGGGTTTGAAGCCATGTGGCGATCAGGTCAAATGCGATACAATTACGCGTCTCGGGGGTTTTAGCACCCAATACCACCCACGGCTTGTTCAACTTGAAAAGTGTGGGGAGTCCTTGGGAATACATAAATATAGTGGAATCGTAAAGAAAGTTAAACACCATCCGATATACATCAACTGTCTGCTACACACTACGAATCCCATATACAATGTCCACCTCGTCCTCCGCTGCAAGGTATAGCACCCTCTATTCCCTTGGGTACTGTGGAGCACCATGCGACAATAGTCACTAATCTTCACAGTGCAACCAAGTTGCCAAAGGCCGATGGAACCATTGGACCTTTTGGTGGCGAGCCAGAAGTGGATGGTCAGGCTCAGGGCGGTCGTCGGAGACAAAGCCAGATTAGCCAGGCTGTACCTGCATTATCCTCGCTATCCAAGCCAGCTGGTCAGTTGCCACGTTTCACACGCTGCAGTTCAAGTCATGTTGATAATGATCCCAGGCCAGCTGCTGAGGGGAGCCACGGATGACAAGGGAGAGCAGAAGGCAGCGGCGCTGCTCGTTGGCATCAAACTTGACCTAGAAGCCGAAGTTCATTTAACGGCCAGGGTCAAGGGTGACATTTGCGTGGGGTTATACTAAGCTTGTTATTGATGGCAAACGACTCAAGCAACGCCTCAACAGTTGCGCTAGGTGCATATGCATGTGGGTTGTATTAATCTAGCGGCTCTTGGGCTGCAGGCGCCTCGAAAGGAGGCATCGACGAGAAAGGGATAGACTAGCTTGGCTCGATAGACTATTATTCAGTACCAATGATATTAGTGCCTTGGTTGTCCTTTATGCACTAGCCCTGTTTTATTCCAATAGATACCTTGACATGAATCGAAACAAGACCCAACCTGCCGGGCACCCCAGAGGCAAAACTACCGGGAAAGTTGTTGACCCGCAAACGCACCAGCGGCGAACTCTGGAGATGTTCTCTTTGTTTTTTCTTCTCTTTCTTTTGGATTTGAAACACTTGTTCAAATTATCTAGTTATCAATATACTCGCTGGGTTATCATAACTAG